ATCATTCTTCTTGACTTAGCGTTAATTTAACACTTTTGCAAGAATGAGTTCAAAATCTAAAGATCTCCATAATATAATCGTTCGTTTTCATCATAAACGAGATACGATGTATTGTGGGCTGTATCAACCTGAACAATGTATTAAAGACAAAAGGCAGAAGAAGAACGGTAAGCAGCATCTGTCCTTTCCTGAAATCAAGAAAGGAATCTCTTCATTATGTACTTTCATGCGAAATAAGGGTCTCCACAACACAGATATAATATGAGATGTATTCACCCTATTTCGTTTAAGGTGATGAAGGACTGGTAGTACTAACTCTAATACCGATGGAAGTAAAAATAGAGGAAAAGTATTCAAAAGTGAGCAAGGACAGCAAAAAGAAGATGCCTGGACCAAGGACATCTATTCAACAACAAGAAGAGACACCGCCAAGAATATGATCATGAGGGATAATAGGAAGTCAAAAAAGGCTATTACAGTGAGATGAGTCAAACTTGGAATACACCAAGAAGGTATCGGTGTGGGTCCATTTGTGGGATGTGGGATAGGAAAGCAAAGGCCAGAAGTATGCAGATTATAGACCATTAGGGGTGCTAGGCTAAAGATATGGGTCCCTATCAAATTCATAAGGGTGTGGAGACTGACCTGGAGATCAGAATATAAGCTGGTACCCAGCATTCGTATGCTTGTGTGTTTATGTGCATTTTTCATGTGCGCATCTTTATAAAGGTCAGGTAGAGGAAGGCACCTAGGCATGGGCATAACCAACTCTTAATCTATAAATATAATGCAAACAGGGACGGGACTTAAAGACTCAAAGGCAGCCAGACAGTGATTTTCATGTTTAGCATGGACTAACTAACAAGTGGGGTGAAAGGGGGGGCCAAATAAAAGTCAGAAGCCCTGCAAACGGCATCTGAAACCGCTGATGCAGGTTATTATGCTTCATCAAATCCAATCGAAGCAACAGACTATTAGGCGACATTAGAGGAAATGAGAGCACAGAATGGTGTGAATACGTAAATAGGCGATATGAAGTGGGGTTAAGAGAAAGATATGCAACACTAGAGGGTAGGACAAAAACAGGGGCGAGGAGTGATGCCACAACGGTTGAACAGAAAATTTATCAAGAGGATTGCCTTCACTTGTCCCTTTTACAAGTTGTAACTGTACTGACGATACCGACTATGATGCCGGTGAAACGTTTTGGAATGTACCAAGTCAATGGTCCGATGCTCGAAATCACGAATACTGTCAGAGGACACAACACAATGTACTTTCCACAAGGTCTACTTGACGCTCCAACCAAATAGCGAAAACGAGGTCTAACCAACACTACTCAAAAGATTTCCAGAAACCTATTTTTCAACTTACGCTGGTATACTGACATAGGCAACCTTGCCGAACCTGCAAAACTGCTTTGTGAGCCAATCAATAAGACCGATTCTAACAGAATGAAGTTCGGTTCGAACAAGCTCTTCTTTCTTATCCAGATGCGAGTTATACTGCACCTCTCCGATCCGTTTTGCCACTTCAGTGGCTTCATAAGATGAAGTACTACTAGCAACCGTTATTTCGCTACCGTATCGAGTACCGCCGGATAGGGATCCCAAACATCGTCTGTGGTTAAGATTGTCGTGTCTGCTTTTCTTAGTGGGTTCGCCGTGCTTTACTCCCTCATCCTCATCATCGGGTTGCCTTGCATAAACATTACCCTCAACCTCATGATTTTCGTGAAGAAAGTAAGCATCTACAGGAGGAAGCTGTGGGCGGCAAAGCATATCCTTCTGATTGGCGCGAGCAATCCAGATATCTGCATAATCTTTCGGCCATTTCGGCAGCCCAGTAATAAGAACGGTTCGCTCGGCAATTGGACAGAGTTGGCGCAAGGGGCAAACGCGGAGCACGGCGTGACCTATTGAAGAGTAGATACAAAATATTACAAAGATTCATAAATCAACATATCCCTATTATTTCAAGAACAAGCGCATATTCATGAATAAAATATTAAAGATATTTTATTAAATATTAATCAGTTAGAGATTAAGTCTTATATATTGATAAAGTAATAGATGGAGAGTTTCACTCTAAATAAAGCATAATTTCATTGGTGTTTGGCGGTATTCCAACAAGTAAGAGGGGTATCGAGAATCTGAGGAAGAAGTATATTGTATTTATTTAATCATTAACTTCGTATGTTTTTCCAACTACGAAACCAATTAAATGTGTAGTCGAAGATATGAAGACCAAGATGGTGTGGCCTTTTGCAAGGTCGCAGTCTCCTTTCGTTGTATAAAAGTTGAACCAAATCAAAACAAGTAGAATCACAATATTTGTGGGTTGGCACACAAGAAACTAAGGCATAGGAAATCATAGACTTGGCACTAGGCATAGAAACACGATAGATGCGGCGGCTAGTTGGCAAACAGTAGGTACTTGATCATAGACGTGGTCCATGAAGCAAAGGCTTGACCACGAGAATGACTCGGGCTCTTTAGCCTTAATTTAGTCTCTCAGAGACAGTGTGAGAGTAGTACAGATAGGGTGGCAGGGATCGAGTGAAATACTTGAACCAGGGAGATATCAGACGGATCCT